CAACATAGTACTGGAAGTCCTCTCCATAGCAATGAGACAAGAAAAAGAAATGAGGCATCCATATCGGTAAGTATGTTAAACTGTCAGTATTAGCAGACAACAGGATACTATACATAGAAAACCCTGAAGATTCAACCAAAACACCTACTGGAAGTAATAAATGAATTCAGTAAAGAGGCAGTATTTAAAATTAATACCCAGAAATCAGTAGCATTTCTATATACTAACAATGTCACAGAAAGAGATATTTTTAAAAAACAACACCATTTACAACTGCACCAAAAGGAATAAAATAACTAGGAATAAACTTGACCAAAGAGGTGAAAGACCTGTACTCTGAAAATTATAAAACACTGATGAAAGAAACTTGATGATGGCACAAACAAAGGTAAAGATAGTCCATGTTCATCTATTAAAAGAATATTGCCAAGGGGCGCCTCGATGGCACAGTCAGTTAAGCACCTGACTTCGACTCAGGTCATGATCTCAAGGTTCATGAGTTTGAGCCCTGCATGGGGCAGTCTGCTGTCAGCACAGAGCAGATCCTCTGTCCCACTCTCTCTTCCTGGCCCTCCCCCGGTGACATTATCTCTTTCTCAAAAAGAAACATTAAAAAAACGTTTTAAAATATTGCCAAAATGTCCATACCACTCAAAGCAATCTACAGATTCAATGCAATCCCTACCAAAATACCAACAGCATTTTTCATTAAACTAGAACAATTAATACTAAAATTTGTAGGGAACCATAGAAGACCTCAAATAGCCAAAACAAACCTGAGAAAGAAGAATGAACCTGGAGCTTTCACAATTCCAGATATCATGATATACGACAAAACTATAGAGATCAAAGCAGTATGGTGCTATCACAAAAACAGAGAAATAGATCAATGGAACAGAAGAGAGACCCCAGAAATAAACCCACATGTATATAGATAATTAATCTGTGACAAAGGAAGCAAGAATATACAATGGGGAAAAGACAGTCTTTTCAATAAATGGTGCTGGGAAAACCAGACAGCTACATGCAAAATAAACTAGACTTCTTCCTAACACCATACATAAAAATAAACTTGGGGCGCGTGGGTGGCTCAGTCAACCGAGTGTTGGATTCTTGACTTTGGCTCAGGTCATGATCTCAACAGTTCATGAGACTGAGCCCCACATTAGGCTCTGTGCTGACAGTGAGGAGCCTACTTGTGGTTCTCTCTCTTCCCTTCTCTCTACCCCTCCTGCACGTGTGCAAGCAAGCATGCACTCTCTTTTTTCAAAATAAATAAATAAACATTTTTAAAAAATAAACTATTGGGATTACATCAAAATACAAAGTTTTGCATAGCAAAGGAAACCATCAAAAAAAAAGAACAACCTACTTGAATGGAAAAAGATATTTGCAAATGATATATCTGATAAGGGGTTAATATCAAAAATATACAAAAAAGTTGCACAACTCAATACCAAAAACACGAACAATCTGATTAAGAAATGAGCAGACGACCTGAATAGACATTTTTCCAAAGAAGACATACAGATGGCTAACAGACATGTGAAAAGATGCTCAAAATGACTAATCATCAGGGAAACAAATCATAACCACAATGAGATCACTCACATCTGTTAGAATGGCTAAAATAAAAGACAAGAAACAAGTGTTGGCGAGGACCCTCGTGTGCTGTTGGTGGGAATGTAAATTAGTACAGCCACTGTGGAAAACAGTATGGAAGTTCCCGGAAAAATTAAAAAATAGAAATACCACATGATGAGGGGGGCCTGGTGGCTCAATCTGTTAAGCATCTACCTCTTGATTTCAGCTCAGGTCATGATCTCATGGTCATGATTTCAAGTCCCACGTCAGGCTCTGTGCTGAGCATAGAGCCTGCTTAAGATTCTCTCCCTCCTCTCTCTCTGCCCCTCCCCTGCTCACACTCCCTCTCTCTCATAAATAAATAAATAAATAAATAAATAAATAAATAAATAAATAAATAACAAATGATCCAATAATTCCATTTGGTATTTAACCAAGGAACACAAAAACACTAACTCCAAAAGATATATGCAGTCCTCTGTTTACTGCAGCATTATTTACAATAACCAAGACATGGAATCAACCTAAATGTCCATCAGTAGATGAACAGATAAGGAAAATGTGTGTATGTATATATATACCTACACACACACAGTATTGAGTATTACACAGCCATAAAGTATGAGATCGTGCCATTTGAGACCAAAAAGGTATTATAAATGAATGACATTATAAATGACTTATAAATGAAATAAGTCAGACTGAGAAAGATAAATACCATATAACTCCACACATAAATGCAATCTAAGGGAAAAAATGAATAAACAAAAATCAGAATCAACACTATAAATACAGAGAACTAATGGTTGCCAGAGAAGAGGAAGGTGGGTGGGGGTTGGGCAAAATGGGTGAAGGGGAGAGGGAGATACAAGCCTCCAGTTACAGAATGAGTATGTCCCGGGAATAAAAAGCAGAGCATGAGGAATACAGTCAATGATATCGTAATAGTGATATCATGGGACAGATGGTAGCTATACTCCTGGTGAACACAGCATAATGTACAAACTTCAAATCAGTGAGTTGTACAACTGAAACTAATGCAACACTGTGTCAACTACACCGAAATCTTATGGGGTGCCTGGCTGGCTCAGGTGGTGGAGCATGGGACTCTTGATCTTGGGGTGGTAAGTTCAAGCCCCATGTTGGGTGTAGAGATTGTTTAAAACTAAAATCTTAAAAAATAAAAAAGTCCTCAGAATAAGACACAAAACACAAAATGGAATCCAGTGGGGAAACAGCATCTAAGAATAAAAGTTAGAAGTTTGACTTTTAAATTTATTCTTAATACGCCACACTGAAGAAATAAATATGGGCCACACAAACAAACAGATCAAAATGGTGAAAACTGCAAACACTGTAATGAGTTTAAAAACAGACTGTAACATTTTTAGGAGACAGAGAAAAATAACAAAGATACTACTCCTTGGATAGATAATTCATATAGTTTCTCAGTTGTCCTATGATTGTAGTTAATTCAAGATCATACATAAAATAAGTAGAAAAGCTATGGGTAAGATGCTAACTAGTTATTAAGTTATACTTAACAACATGTTTTACATTTACATGGTAGTTTCATAATTCTGAAACTGCTCTGTGACTTTGAGACCTACATAAGTAGCTAAGTAACATTAGACAGACTTCTAAATCTCCATGGTATAAGTTCCTTAGATTTAAAGTTCCAAATGAAAAGAACGATTTCTCATAGGTTAAGAAGGTAGGCTAGCATTTTAAGACACTGTAGGAACAGTTTCCTTTTACCTGAGATACAAAAGGTGATCTCTTCTTTGTTGTTTTTTTTTTTTAATTTCCTAATGTTTATTTATTTTTGAGAGAAGAGAGAGACGGAGCATGAGCGGGGGAGGGGCGGAGAGAGAGGGAGACACAGAATCCAAAGCAGGCTCCAGGCCCCGAGCTGTCAGCACAGAGCCCCACGCAGGGCTAGAACTCAGGAACTGGGAGATCATGACCTGAGCTGAAGTGGGACGCTTAACGGACTAAGCCACCCAGGTGCCCCTGATCTCTTCTTTTTTTATGTTGATCAATTTTTGAGAGAGAGCGAGAGAGAGCAAGTAGGGAAGGGGCAGAGAGAGAGAATCCCAAGCAGAATCCGGATTCAGGATTCGAACTCAGAACCATGAGATCATAACCCGAGGTGAAACCCCAAGAGTTAACCGACTGAGCCACCCAAGCGCCCCAAAAGGCGATCTTTTATGTTTAATATTTTAGCATTTTATATTGTAGGTATGAAGGAATTTTTAAAGCGAGGTTGTGAGGCTTAGTAGCCAAGACCTTTCAAAGCAGTGGTAAATCTAAAATAGTTACAATGCTTTGGGGAGTTAAAGCAAAACAAAACAAAACAAAAAACTCTTGTTAGGGTTTAGAACAAATTTTTTTCTGTAGAGGCCAAACAACAAACATTTTAGTCTTTGTGATTCATAAGGTCTCTGCTGGAGCTACTCAACTCATACCCTGTAGCAGGAAAAGTTGTTCCAATAAACCCTTTCTTAAGGGCACTGAAATTAGAATTTCAAATAATTTTCACGTGTTTTTAAATTTTCCTCCAGGAAATTTTTTTGTCCCACCTACTTAAAGACATAAACATTCTTCTTTTTTTTTTTTTTAATGTTTATTTTTGAGACAGAGCATGAACGGGGGAAGGGCAGAGAGAGAGGGAGACACAGAATCGGAAGCAGGCTCCAGGATCTGAGCTGTCAGCACAGAGCCCGATGCGGGGCTCCAACTCACAAACCGTGAGAGCATGACCTGACCTGAAGTCGGACGCTTAACCGACTGAGCCCACCCGGGCGCCCCAACATAAACATTATTCCTAGCTTGAGAAGCCACACCAGAACAGGCAGTAGAGTAGACTTGGCCCTGTGCCATTGTTTGCCCACCGGACTGATATTCTTTCTCATCACATCTTCCCGTAGCAACTGCTTGGTGGAAACGTATAAACATCAATCATCCTCTTGGTAGAGAAATATAACAAATGAGGCTTCTAGACTGAAAAGGCTCATAACCATAAAAACAAAGAGGAAAGACAACGTTTATTCAAGTAGCTGAGGCCTTAGATGTATCTCACTACGCGCTGGAAAATCGGGAGCCCAGGACGTGAGTGCACGAAAAAAGGAGAGGAAATTACAGCTCCGAAGGCCTTAAGGGCCCTGGTCTCTGTGCTAAACGCTTGCCTCTGAGTAGCTCATTTAACCCCCACTGCATCTCTACTAGGAAGGTGTAATCTCCCTCTGTTTCTAAGATTAAGAACGGTGCTTAAGGCGTTTACATGAATGACTCGAGGACACTGCCACGAAGCGACCGAGTCAGATTTCGCAGCCTTAGGGGCTCTGAGAGCTAAGGATGGAGCTCTCACCCACGACGCCCACTTGGATGCGGCCGAGCGAGCCAGAGGGAACAACCTGAGCAGCAGGGTTAGGCGGTCCTCGGGACGTGCCTCCTGGGCGCCGGCGACCTGTGGTGGCCTGCCTTCCCCGCCTCCGGAGTCCGGGGACTCGGTGGCCGCTTGTTCCCTGGGTTGCATCTCCATTCTGACTGGCGCTGAGAGGTACGGCCTGGGACGGGAAGATGCAGCCTCAGAGGCTTATCTTCCCGCCACTAAATTCTCTCCCGGAAAGGGCCGGAGGACCGTCGCTTCCCGTCCGGCCCCTTCCGCCCCACGGCTCCACCCCTTCCGTCCCGTCCCCTGGTTGCCGTGGTTACTTCTGTTTCTCTAGTCCTGGCTAGTATTTGCAACCATTACAGATCACTAATAAGAAAAGTTGAACTTTAAGCATCAGCTCTGTCGAGTGCTGGGCTAAGAGTTGGGCTACAGCCCTTTGGGACACACCCCGGCGCCCAGGAACAGGCTGGAAAACTCCGACATAAATGGTCTTTCATCCTTGGCTCTGGGACAGGAGATCTTCGAGACAGTTTTGTGGGGTTTTTTTGTGTGTGTATGTTTTTTGTTTTTTTTGGTTTTTTTTTTTAACCCATCTTGGTACTCCCTTAACATTCGCGGGCTTGGAAAGGGAAACACCGGAAGGTTGTTTAAGTAGACTTTCCATCTGAGCTCATAGTGTCCAGACTCCCTCATTTGGCGGAGAACAGTGGCTAGAGTTCAGAGATAACTTAAAGCCCGCTATGAGTCAGTGCATATCCTTGAACCCCAGACTTGCAGCGTGAAATTTCACTATCCGTAAGACTCATTCTTATAACAGTCCTGTGCCCCCAAGTGCCACCTTGTCGATTTATCAGCTTGCAATCAAGCTTTTTTAGCTGGGCAGCTAAATGAGCGGCTAATGGATACAATGTGGGACGTAAAACGCCCCATTGATTGGTAGTTTTCATTAGGGTCGGTCGTGTAAGGGACACTCTAGCCTTGTAGCACAAGCACAGCAACTCAGACCTCTTTGAACAAGGGAGCCGAGCATTCCCCTCGTATAACTAGTTTCCGCTCAGTTACACTTGATCACACAGTGCTCTCTACTTTCGTCCTCTTCATTATCAAAGTAACAGCTACCAGCATTGAGTGCAAAGACAGGAATGTAAATACGACGTTAGGTTCGCCACTCCTACCCACAAACTCCTGGAAAAACATGGTTTCCTTTATTTTTTTCCTTTTTTATGTTTACTTATTTAGAGATAGAGGCAGAGAGAGACGAAAGGGCAGAGAGAGGGGGAGACAGGATCTGAAGCCCTCCGTGCTGACAGCAAGAGAGCCGGATGCCAGGCTGGAAACCATGAACCATAAGATCATGTCCTGACCCGAAATTAAGAGTAAGTCGCTTAACAGACTGAGCCAACCAGGCACCCCCACCCCCCATTATTTGTTTTATACAAAAACAATCTTGTGCTTTGGCTTTACCCTGGACGTCTTCCAGTATCTCACATGAATCTCATCCTTTTAAACCTATCAGGTGTCCAAGGCCAAATTTGGGACAAAGACAATTCAGTAGTTCTCCATCTGAGCAGGAATGAGAATCATGGGGAGGACTGGTTTAAAACAGACTACTAGGTGGATGGGGAGATGGGTGAAATAGGTGAAGGGGATTAAAAGCACAGTTACTGTGCAGAACACTGAGTAATGTGGAGAATTGTTGAATCGCTACATTGTACACCTGAAACTAAAGTAACACTATTATACTGGAATTTCAAAAATTAAAAAAAAAAAAAAGATTGCTTGGTGTCTCTCCCAAGTTTTGATTATGATTTATGTTTCTAACAAATGCCCAGGTGATGTTCATGCTGCTGGTTCGGGATGACACTTTGAGAAGCACTATGGTAATGGTTTATAACAAAGGTTTTTTGTTTTTTGTTTTTTTTTTAATCCATAGTAAAACAAAAAGGGACAGATGTGAGTGTGGAGCTATTCTTTAGAGAATCTCTAATAATATAGAAGGGATAATGCAATTAGGTAATACATCATATCATTCTAGTGAGGTGTAGGTTTCAAAGTTAATATTAATGAATAATAAAACTAAAGAGAACAGCGCCTTTACAGCAAAGCTGTATCAGGTGGTTACCACCTTAACTGGATGATCAAACACAATATCTTCAGTAGTGTAACAACTAATATTTAACTCCAATATGCATACGTTGTACAAATCACATATATTCTTGGGGAATGCAAAACCTGAATTTAACTATCAAAAAACAATCAGACAGGGGCGCCTGGGTGGCGCAGTCGGTTAAGTGTCCGACTTCAGCCAAGTCACGATCTCGCGGTCCGTGAGTTCGAGCCCCGCCTCGGGCTCTGGGCTGATGGCTCAGAGCCTGGAGCCTGTTTCCGATTCTGTGTCTCCCTCTCTCTCTGCCCCTCCCCTGTTCATGCTCTGTCTCTCTCTGTCCCAAAAATAAATAAAAACGTTGAAAAAAAAAAAAAAACAATCAGACAAAAAAAAAAAAACTAATCAGACAAGAAATCTAAAATGAGGGACATTCTATAACACAAATGGACTAGACAGTTCATGTCTATGTCTTGAAAAACAAAAAGCATGTATATGGAAACAAATTTAGTTGGAACCTAAATTGGAAAAAAAAGGTTTGTAAAACATTTTGGGACAATGGAGAAAATTTGAATACACACTGCATATTACACATAGAAGTTGTTAATTGTCTTAGCATGATAAAGATTGTGGTTATTTAGGAAAATGACTGAATTCTTAGGAGATGCATGACCTAGTATTTTAAGGTGATCTTATCTTGACATCTAAAATTTACTTTGAGGGGCACCTGGATGGCTCAGTTGGTTAAGTGTCCTACTTCGGCTCAGGTCATGATCTCATGGTTTGTGGGTTCAAGCCCCACGTTGGGCTCTGTGCCAACATATCAGAGCCTGGAGCTTCATTCCGATTCTGTCTCCCTCTCTTGCTGCCCCTCCCACACTCATGCTCTGTCTCTCAAAGAGGAATAAATGTTAAAAAAAATTTTTTTTCTTTATATTTACTTTGAAGTGGCTCTGAGAAAGAAAAATATATGCAAACATGTATATATCCCCCCATCACACACACATACTTTTCTTTCTTTACACCTGTAGTTTAATATTTGCCTACATAAGTACCTACAACTTTGCCCCCTATCAGAAAACAATTCTTTCTTGTATCCTTGGAATATTTACGGAAGTCTTTCAAGTACTTACCCACAGAGAAAACGTGCCTTCAGAGTCTTTTTAAAAACTTCCATTTCCAATGAAATTAAAAATCACCACACAAACAATTCCAAAGTATTCCAAAAGAAAACTACTTAGAGAAACCAATTTGACAATAAATTTCATATATTAAAAAAAATAAAAAAAATAAAAAAAAGAAAACTACTTAGAAGTTGAGCAGTTAAGGGGTGCCTGGGTGGCTCAGTCAGTAGAGCAACCAGCTCTTGATTTCGTCCCAAGTCATCATCCCAGGGTTGTGGGATCTAACCCTACGCCCAGCTCTGTGCTCAATGTGAAGCCTGCTTAAGATTCTCTCCCTCCCTCCCTCCCCCCTTTTCCCCTGCTCACTCTATCTAAAAGAAGAGAGGGGCTCCTGGGTGGCGCAGTCGGTTAAGCGTCCGACTTCAGCCAGGTCACGATCTCGCAGTCCGTGAGTTCGAGCCCCGCGTCAGGCTCTGGGCTGATGGCACAGAGCCTGGAGCCTGTTTCCGATTCTGTGTCTCCCTCTCTCTGCCCCTCCCCCGTTCATGCTCTGTCTCTCTCTGTCCCAAATAAATAAATAAACGTTGAAAAAAAATTAAAAAAAAAAGAAAAGAAAAGAAAAAAAGAAAAAAAATTAAAAGGAAAATGAGCAGTTAAATAATCTCCAGATCAAGGAAGGACTGCAAAAGAAACTTTAATGACCAGAAAAAGATGAAAAGGAGGGCTTCAGAAACAAGCTGTCTCAAAGGAGAATGCATCAAGGATTTTACCACTAAAATACATGGAGTATTTAACTGAAACTAGAAAAAGAAAAGAAAAAGAAAAACAGATGGTGAGAATTGGTGTAAAAGCTAAAATTACAGTGACCTCTGGCTCTTGGTTTTGGCTCAGGTCATGGAGCTCATGGTTTGGTTCTTGGGTTCAAGCCTCGTGTGTGGGTATGCGGTAACAGTGCGGAGCCTGCTTTGAATTCTCTCTCTCTCAAAGAAACTTAAAAAGTTAAAAAAATAAAAAACTAAAACTACAAAACAAAGGTAGCAGAAATAGTAACACCAAACCTGGCTCTTTTAGTAAATGTGCTGCCGAAGCAAGCACAAAACCCCTTCTCTCAAAACACCAATAAAAACCCTCCAGTCAAGCCCAGTTAGAAAACAAAAGTATCAAGGATGAGACACAAACTATATATGCGACTATAATTTTAAGAATCTAGAATAGTTATTTCCTATTAATAGAGGGAAGGTAATTCCTAAAAAACACTGGCAATGTAAAACATACCATTCTAAGCAGATCCAGGCCAAAGGACTTTACAGGTTACATTTATTTATTTTTGAGACAGAGAGAGACACAGCACATGTTGGGGTGGGGCAGAGAGAGAGGAAGACACAGAATCTGAAGCAGCCTCCAGGCTCCAGGTTCTGAGCTGTCAGCACAGAGCCTGACGCAGGGCTCAAACTCACAAACTGTGAGATCATGACCTGAGCCTAAGTTGGATGCTTAACTGACTGAGCCACCCCAGTGCCCCAGGACTTTACAGTTTAATTAAAAAATTTTTCGGGGTGCCTGGGTGGCTCAGTCGGTTGAGCGTTCGACTTCGGCTCAGGTCATGATCTCATAGTCTGTGGGTTCGGGACCCGCGTCGGGCTCTGTGCTGACAGTTCGGAGCCTGCTTCAGATTCTGTATCTTCTCTCTCTGCCCCTCCCCTGCTCATGCTCTGTCTCTGTCTCAAAAATAAAAACATTAAAAAAATTTTTTTCAATGAACGAGTAATTTTCAATTATGAGATGTAAAAATGTAAATGTCTTTGATCCAACTTAAAGGTAGTAAGAGAAAAACTAGAAAACCATAACAAGACTGAACCAGTTTACCAAATAAGATACAAAATCTTCTCAAAGAAACAGATTAAACCCATGTATCATGAGCAAGAATTCATTCCACTTTAGGAAAACTCTAATGTGGAATACTAAAGCTGAAAAAGCAAATGAATTTCCACAGCCTTGCCACTTAACTCTAAACAGAAA